GTAATAAAGAAATTACTATAATTATTGATAATGGTAAATTAGGGACTAAGAGTGAAATTATCCATTGATTTCATAAAGTGCACAAGTATTGTTGAACATCCCCAAATAATATAGTGGACAACTATTATTAGGCGGATGGAGTACATTTCTCAAAGCATCTATAATAAATTAAATATATTCAAAGGGTAATGTAATAACATAACTCTTTATTATTTATTGTTTCTTAAAGCGTGTGCCAAATCAATACTCTATGTTCCTAATTACTTGTCCACTTATTCTTTTTAGTTGTCCCTAATTACTTGTCCATTTTGACAAATCAAGAATGACAATTTTTTTCTTATTATACCCTCAATTAATTACTTTGAAAAAAGGTAAAATTTATTGAAAATCTTAAGTTTTTAATTCATCCACTTCGTAATCAATAGGAGTAAAATAGTAAACTCACTATGTCAATAATTATTTTTTTAATATGTATGTCAATTTAAAAGTGGACAAGTAATTATCGACAGAGGGAGTAGTAAACAACTATTATTGGACATAGAGGGTATATAGTACTAATACTTTATGTTTATACAAATATTCATTCATTAATCAGTGACACAAAAAAATATATTTCAATCAAAATAAAGTACACCAAAATGTCAGTAAAAATCAATACAATATTCGGTATTTCAATACAATTTTTTTTACCGATATCGGATAATATATCAAGTACCAAAAAAATTTGTAATATGCATCAGATGTCACAATATTATAATCCCAATATCAGAAAATCCAAATTTGACATATAATTTGATATGTACCTACCATTCACACTCTTAATAATCTAATACGTAGCATCCTTTAGTTAGATTCGGACTACTCTTTTTCTAAACTTAACAAAATTACAAAAAAAGTAATCAGAAACTTTATAACTCTAGTGACAATGCCATTCCCTCAGGAAGGTTATATCGGTAAAATTTTACATACTTTAAAGAGGGCACTTGGCCATGAAAAATTAAATAATTTTTACTTTTTTTGAAATTTTTTGAGTTGAAGTTGAAATTGTGTTTAATCCTAAGCTTGACAAAGAATATTTAGAATTCATTTTGACCTTTTCCAAATAATTGTTTTTTAAAAAAATCACCTTTTTAAGACGTTTGGTAAATTTAAGATAAATTTGGATATCAGTTCTTTAAGATAATATTTTAAAAATGTGATACACAAGCACATCAAATCAGAGTATAAAGTTTATAGATTTGAGATTTAAATTCCTCTATTAACTAGATTTGAAATTATTAATTTATACATATTTAATAAATATTTAAAAATAAACATAAAATTTGGATCAAATTATTGAATTTGGACGAACTGTAACAAAAGTTCCAACTCTGTGACTGATGGAGTATTATTTTGATAAATTTTTCTGAACTAAATTAGACTACGATAGCCTAGATTTAAATGTGTGTTCCTACTTCCTAATAAAATATGTTAGTGAATTAGCTTTAAATTGATATCCTCATAAATATGACTCGTTTAATTTGTCTCTAATTCCCTTTTCAGTATAATAAATATGTGTTAAACTGTTGACATCGACATCCATTAATGTTACCAAAAAAAAAGAAAATAAAAACATGAATAATAAGAAAGTGAAATTGTTAGATTTCTAGCAATATTATCATTTTATTCACCATAATAGCAGGATATTTGGGAGAGATTGAACGTTATGGCAACACTGTGAGAAGTCACTAAAATTCAAACTTGAGACACAACAGTTTTACGAGTCAAGATTTGCATCATGGGGTACCAAAATATAAACAATAAACACATGAAAAAAATATACAAAATAAATTTTATTAGTTGAAGCAAAATATAGTTACATTTTAACTTGACAAGATACATAATAATAATGATAAAGTATGTGTCATTTTAGTTGTTTAAAAATAAAAAACAATGGTAGCAATCAAAAAGTATTACTCTACTACTATTAACTTTGCTAGTAGGGATGAAACTAACTCATAACCTTAGGAAATTTTGGCAACCCCTTAATCATTGTGCTGGACTTTCAGCGAAGGGGTGTCAAGCGAGTATAGGGTAGCTTCGCTCCTACACGAGAATCACTATGGTAAAGCTGGTAAATCTACAATTTTAAAAGTGGATTTAGAATTTAAAATTTATGAATTTCTATTGCGATCTTAACTTAATTCTACAGTAGTAACTGAATTCACAATCAAATATTCATAAACATTTTAGTTAATTTTATAATATAAATATAGAATTTGGACAAAAGCTACTATCCATAATCGGACCTCCACTAATGAACCAATTTACCATATATAATAGGCCAAAAGGGCATCAACCATTTCCCTTGCAAGAAAATGGAATGACTTGTCTTTTTCTTTTTGTGTTATTTTATACTATAGTTCTAGTTTGCTTGTAATTTGACGTATGTTGTCCTATGCATATGTAAATAGTATCTGTGTACCTGGCATTATGATTCTTGAATAGTGATGGACCACGTTTCTGTCCACTTGCCTGGATTCTACGTGTAATATTGTATTTATATGGAAAATAATAATGCAAAAGAACATGAAAAAAAACAAATTTAAAACCCTCAATAATACACACCGCCAAAAATGCACTCATTGAGGTTCATGCAAAGATATGAAGCATGAAATCCCAAAAAAAATTTAAAAAATAATTCTCTCTGGTGTAACCAACAACTCAACGTATTAAACAAGGGAGAGTTGTATATTTGGCCGCTTATAATAAATAAATAAATATATATTTGTCTGGCATGTTGGATATATATCTTGATGAGATGTAATTGACTCCTTTTGTATTGAAGATACTGTTTTTTTAATGTATAATACATTATAACATACTATTCCATTCCGTGTAATGGGAAGAGACGTGACTTATAGATATAAAAAATAAATGAAATAATACAATGTATCCTCCTATTCAAGGAAACACATGATGAAATTCACCCAAATCAACTCCCTCAATCATGCACATTGTTTTTTTTCTTTTTCAAAAATTTGAAATAATCATCCTACTAGAGAATATTTCCTCCGTCCAATAATAGTTGTCGACTATATTAAAAATTGATATCCGACAATACTTGTCTAATTTAAAAAATTAAGAGATAAGTTACCTTTTGTGTCTATTTTACCCTTGATATTAAATATTATTTTCATCTAACACATTTTTCAAAGCATTAAATTTAATAAAGTCAAAAGACAATATAGTAATATTACTCGTATTATTTATTGTTTCTTAAAGAATATGCAAAATTAATAGTGGACAACTATTGTTGGACAAATGGATTATAAAAATCTCAAGTAGGATGAATATAATTAGATTGATCAATTATTCTTGACATATTTTTGAAGTCTCACATTTCTTGCTGTTGAAATATACAGGAGTGGAGTTAAATTAATTTTAACAATTTCTAGCTTGTATAGTTGGTGACTTTGACAATGTGCCCCTGAGTCCTAACTTTCTCAAACTTTTTTATAATAACTTCGTTTGATCGGATATTTTTAATTACTATAATAAGATATTGTTATAAGAAACATACAATATGATATAATATGAAAGTTTCAGAAAAATCTTAGGTCATTAAAATGAAATGCTATTATAAAAAAATGATTGTTACGTAGAGATCTAATGTTAACGTCCCCTATAATGAATCTAGTCATTGAACGTTGCAAGTCAAAATTCGAGTTAATGTATATTGGATTAGGAGTTTGTAAAGAGATTTTCTTTTTTCGACTTATAATGTTGGTTCCTTCCTGCCATCTCTTGAATTAAAGTACTCAAAAATTAGATATTTTCTACGTATATTTCCATTACATTCAAATAACACTAAATACAACAAGGATGAATTAATCACCCTTCTGAAACAAAAAAATAACTTCCTACTACAACTGAAATGAGAAAGTGAACCCTCCTTACTGCAAATAACTACTACACAGAAAAAAAAAACCTGATAAGTTAAAGTAATCTAATTTCTTTTTAAAATCTTTCATGTGTAAGATTGTTGGTAGACTAAAGGGTGCTAACATCTGCAAATTTTAAATAAATTGATTTTGTATGCAATTTCACATGGGAATACATCAGTTGTTTCAGGATAAGATTGCACGATTAAAATGAGTATCTTAATGGTTTTCCATGCACATAGAAATAGAAAATGAAAAGATAAGTAAATGAGATCCCATCTGTTTTTGTCCAAATGTATTAATGACAGACATGGCCTAGCAAAAGAGTAGACTAGACCTTTCAGAACTTGGACTGACAAGGTTGTACTACTATTTAAGTTTTACCACTCGTGTGATTCACAATATCACTTACAATTTACTAGGAGTACAAGATAAGAGGGATTATTCAGGTGTAAACACAATTTTCAGTCATCAAAATAACAAAAAGATGAAAGCTTTCTAGAGAGAGTAACAACACAAAGAAAACTTATAATTTATGACATTCTTAAGAAACTACTTACTAGACATGTCATGGTCAGAGTAATGATCGAACAAAATACTTGCTTGGTGACTTACTATTTGGATTGACTTTTGGCTTTTAGCTTTTGACTTATGATTTATAAGCCAAAAGTTATAAGTTGGTGATGCAACATTTGACTTATTTTTGTTATTTGACCTTTAAAACAAGAGCTTATAAACACTTTTTAACTTTATTCAAACACTTCAAAACTATTTAAAAATTATTTTAACTTAAAAACACCTAAAATAAGTCGATCCAAACGAGTACTTAGTTAAGAAATAAAGTTGCATCTTTGCTATCAGCTATAACTTTTGGCATAATGATAACACAAGATAAAAGTTTCAAGAATTCTAATCGCATTGTACACATCATAAATGTAAAGAGTTTGTCTACATATTTTGTTTTGGACTTCTGGGACAATCTTCGCCTATGACCCCAAAATCTTTTTTTTTTTTGAGAACTTAAAACTGAAAGTAGAATCAAGACTACAAATTACTACAAAACAATGTCACCTAAAAGCAGATGCTATTTAAGAATCACTTATAGATTTAAACATTTGAGGTACTGATCATCATAGATACTTACACAAGAAAATATCTGTCACTGTGTACATTTATAGACTCCTTGCTGTGGTACTGCTTCATCTCTACAGAGCAGCAGAGTATGATAGGTTATTTTCATTCATCATCCTTTTTATGCACAAGTTGAATCACCTCAACAACCATGACTGTTAGCATTCATAAATGGCTCACTAGTACACGTAGATGAGATACTGCATTTTTTTCTACTGAGACAAGTTCTGCATCTTGCACTTGTTGACAGTAAAGAGAAAGAAATCTATTTATCAAGAGGCACAAAGCGCGTCTTAGCAAGTTTGATAAGTCTTTACTATCATACAACAACATATCCAGTGTAATCTCACAAGTGATAAGTCTACATATCTAGTGTAGTGATAAGTCTTACTATCAAATTAGGATGAATTTACAACTGAATTCGTGAGTGTGATCATATAAGCTCTACATTTAAATTCTGTCAATAAAAAGTGGTTTATTAGATAGTACTGATACTGAGTGATAAGCAATCTAAAATCTCTTCATTCATCTAAGAAAATCTTGAAGCTGGTTGAATCTGATTGTTTTGGCAGGGCAGAGCTAGTAAGGGTTCAGTGGAGAGTTACACTATTTATACATGGTTTAAATTATTATTTATGTATTTATAGTAGTTGTTGAACCCCATCGACTTCTTCCTAATTGTTAAAATTATTAATGAAATTCTGGCTCCGCCATTGTGTTTTGGAATAGTAAGTCTAATCTTTTGTATCTTATCCAAGGCCCTGGATAGAGAATAGACATGTCTTGTATGTCAATTGTACTTTATTCAAAGCAGTTATTTCCTTCAATGGACCCAACTAAATAAGGATAACGACCTTACTTGTGTGAGCCGTGAGGAGCTAATGGACCTGGGAAATCATTTCTGTACGAATCGTGTCACAATCCAACGGACCTGTTCAAGAGAATTCAACAAAAAGCAACGTGATGTTATTCTTCTAACAAATATCAATTCAATGAGGCAATAAATGTTCTCTTTGATAATTGGTGAACTAGATCAATACTTACAATGTTATTTTGAGGATCTCTCCAATAAAATCCTTGAATAAAAATCACAGCTATATTTGATGTTATGAGAATAAAGATACTAAGAGAATGCTTTCCCATCCACTCTAAAACGAACATCAAGCGCCTCCAACCATAAATATCCACCTAAAGTTCATAAGATTCGCAGGACTATCAACTTTTTAAATCAGAGTGAAAGCGACAAGTGATGATTATATTAAACAAAAGAGACACGCAAGAGGGTTTGTATTTTAAAACTAACCAATAGATATAACAAACAGAATGTGATTCCAGCAGCACCTGAGGTTACCAGCATATAACTTATCGTGTACAATGATTTGTTTAATGGCATGCCTGAAAGGAAAAGAACACAAATGTCACATTTCACGGTGGCTAGAAGCATTTTTGTTTTGAATCAAATTGAAAATTTGTTAGTTACTCCAGTTGATTATGCATTGATACCAAAAGTAAAAAAAGACGTACCTACGAAATCAAGGAATAAACCAACTGCAAGAAGTGAAAGTGAGAGGATTGACCAATTGTATAACCGTCCTTTATGATCCTGAACAGTCATATAAATTACATCCATCAATTATATGCAGTATTGTAATAATCTGGCACTAAGGCAAATCTATTTATGCTAAAGTTGTATGCCAGTACCACGATGCAAATATACTTTTATGGAAATATTAGACATATAGGAAAACTCTTTTCGGGAAACCACCACTTATGCAGTTCAATACATAACAATGATGAAGCCGTCTAATTGGGACCAAATCAAAATAGAAAACTGTTGGATTGCTTGAGACCTGAAGCATTCCTTCGACTTCTCCTGAAAAAATCTTTTCCCAACACTCCCAAGACTCGGGATAGAAATAGAGGTAAATCAGTCAGCAAATGATACCCCATGGCTCACCTGAAATTGGACAAGTATGTGACCATACTGGAGGCCAATGATGGATGTAGCAGCAGCTGTTAGTGAACTGGAAAAAGATAACCAACGGCAGAAGTTGTTAAACAACAAACTAGAGAATAAGTAAAATTAGAAACATGACATGACTAAATAATAAGTACATTTCATAAGAGAATTTGAGGTGAAGAATAATGAGAGATTTGTTACCTTACAATGCCTTCAGGATCAAAAGCGGCATGACACCAAGAAGGCATACTCTCAGAAACTGTGTCTCTGTTGGATCCATTGCATTCCTGTGAAAGATTAATATTGGTCATGAAGTGGCTAACTGTGAGGTCTGGACATAAGAGTGTCAGCAGTGCAGTTCAGTATAAGACTACCTTCATATTTCTATATACAGGTTTTGCATAGAGGTGATCTATTCCAAGAATATAGCGATCAATCATAGCAGCAGAATTACATGCAGGTCCAAGGTCTCCTCTAACAGAACATTTTACCTGGAAGTAGCAACAAAATTTACCATCTTATATTACAAATATAAGATAACTGATAGAAAAAGTTCTCCAACTCGATCAATTAGGAATAGAACTGATCATACACAAAGCGGTAACAAGGGACCAGTCATTTTTAAGGTTCTATTGGATTAAAGTGATAATAAGCTTCTATAGGATAAGAATTGATCACAAAAGTTCTTGACTTTGAGCAAGTGTTTTACATGCTAAATCCAAGGTACAAAAATTAGTACTGATATCACTCAAAGCAGTAATGACTCATCACATTCATCTTTAAGCTTCTGTAGAGTTCTTAATGTGTTACTTGGAGCCACTCACATAGTCACATTGTTTTACTTTGTAGAATATAGTTCAGGTTAAGGGGAATAGAAAGCAAACAGCTGCTAACCTCATAAATGGTGCTTCCAGTTGACTGCGACACACTGAATTGCCAGTCAGGGACATACAGGCCATATATCAACCCACAATGTATAGCAGACAATAGGAACATGATACACCTACAAATGAAGTAAAATGTTGTTAGGTAAAATTAGAGACAAAGATAACCATAGAGGACAAGAAACAATACTATATAAAAAGAAGATCGATAATAAGACTGCCAATATCATTGCAGTTGGACTCACTAGTTCTCCAAATAACCAATGAGGCCTAGTCCAAGTAGTTAGGTTGAAACCTTGTACCAACATGTCATGAATTTGACTTGCACCAGTGACAAGCTAGATTTTTATCTAATTTAAAGGGGATTAATGCCTACTTACGAGAAGTTGTTTTTTTCATAATTCTTAAATGAAGTTCACAGTATGCATAACAAGACACACTTATGGTTCCACTAAGGAAAAGAATCTGGCACGCGAGTAATACCTTCATGATGCAGAAACAGAAGATATATGTAGTACTCCAAACAATTGCACAATCAAAAAAAAAAATCTACCTGAAAATCAGGAATGTAGTTGTCTTACCATTGGCAAATATAATTTCTGAAAAGGGCAACTCTTTTCATCTCTTGACATGGAAGCCATATCTCGCACAAAGCTGCTATAATATATCCAACAGCTATTCTCTGCATAAATGAAAAGAAATGTATACTATTCTGAATAAGTAATAGAAATGAACAGGTTACATGCATAAGTTCTTCATCTGCACCTATCTTTTGACCTAATGACTAGTAATCCTTCTAACAAGAAAATGAGAACTTCTTATAATAATCAGGGAAACCAGATTAAGATGCTAAGAATCAGCATCTATCACAAAAATAGCTTAAATAGGAAAGTTAATCCAAAGCACTTCACTGAAACTAAAAAGAACAACAAAAGAAATACCTTACAGGCTAAAGCAGAGGAACAAGGGGCACAAGTGAAAGCAGTCTTTAGAAGTCTAACTAAGAAAGACTTACGAACCACTTAGGAAGGATAAGAAACATAGCTACAAAGAAAAAGAAGTCATTGGAGGCAATGCGACGACACTCATCTCCACTGGCAATGCTACTGAAACTGAAACGACACTTATCTTGTAGGTAATCTAGTCATCTCATACCACGGTAGCAAAAAAGCAAGAAAAAAAATAAAATCAGAGTTACCTGCAAAATTCCCATCCATCGTATTCTTTCAATATCTACACCATAGGTTAAACCAGTTATGCCATGCAAGTAACCCCCTGAAATGAAACAAATGTGGAATCACAATTGTCCAACAACATCAAGTTTAGATATCTCATACAAGAAAATGATATACTATGAACAAAATCAGAAGACAACAGTAGTGTAGTAGTGTTGGAATCTCGTAAATATCCTAGGATCTTCGAAATATAGTATAGCTTGATTTACTCCTGAAATTATGTATTTTGATTCTCTTTTCTGTTTCTTAGAATATGAACACGTAGATATTTCAACCCCAATGGCTTGAAGAATAATTAAGCTGAGGTTCTCTCAATTCTCTTTTCATTTGTCTTACTTTCGAACATGATATCAGAGCCAGTGTAAAACTTAATCTTCAGTGCAACTACCAGCGGAGAAGAAACTCCTGTCACTGTGCATTATTCCAGTGAGTCTGCAACAATTAGTCAAAATCTGCAGGCATTGAACCTCAACCAATACTACCACTGTGTTTGGAACCCTTCGGCAAACCAACCCCAGAAAACCCATTATCATCAGACTATTCACGTGTTGTCACATGCCGGGAAGAAGTTTGATTTTCCGGCGAGATTAACCCATGTGCCGGTGCATGCGAGGGATTCCTGCTACTTTCTGGTGACGTTCATTCTTCTATGTAACTCGCCTCCTCAACTCGACATCACCCATCCAAATTCCACTGCTTTCTGACCAACTTCCCAACTAGGCAGTCCACTTCTCCGGCGAGTACTGATACATGATTTACATAGGGGAGATAAGGGATATAATTCCTTAGGGATGACATGCAAGCATTTCAGTTGGTTATGTTAGTTAGGATTTTTTGAATACACTAAGGGCGGGAAAGTTTGTTAGTGGCAGTTGGCCTCAGCCAAGTTAGATCTGATCCAAGTACAACTATCTGGAGAAGTAATCCTCTATTGATTGATCATGAATACATTTATATTTGTCTCAATTGCAATCCTCTACTTCTATATTTCTCTTCCCTCATTTGGCTCAATTACATTTCACTCGAATTCCTCTGTAGGTTTCCTGTTTTAGCTTAGAATTCTCGAGCTTCAAGTTGAGCTCTTGCAATTCTGTTAACAGTGGTATCAGATCTATTGAATCCTTGGCATCAATAGCGAAGGTAACTACTAAGGCAATTGGAGAACCAACCAGTGGAACCCCTTGCGTGAGATGATGCAGAATATAATAACATAAATTGGAGATTTAGCAGGTAAAGTTTCATCTCTAAAAAAATTGGATCAAATAGTACTTGAATTGAAGAATCAATTAGCAGCTTCTGGGGAGACTCGAAGGAATAAAACCCCATTGGAACAGGAGTGAGGTCCTTCCCGGAATGGCCATTAAGAAGAAAGAGTACAAAGGGAGAGAGAAAGGAGTCCTAACAGTTACAATTCTCAGTTCTCACCACTCAAATTTCACTCGATGGTCAAGAATGGAGTTCTTGCAATTTAATGGAGAAGATCTGAGGTCATGGTTATTCAAGATCGAAGAATAGGCATCTCATTGAGACGCTCGTTCCCTATTCATACAATATCATAATTTGTTGCATTTTTCAGGGATGCAATTTTCATATTCTATTATCTCATTAATTGTATGCCATCCTCGACTATCCATAATATTATGTCTTCTTTCTCTTCCACCTCATGTCTCTGAGAGCACATGGTTTGTTCACAACCTTACCCCAAAAACAATAAGTTAGTTCCTTGTGCCCTTAAATGTGAATTTCTAGGTTACTAGAGGGCACAAAGGGGATAGCGATGCTATTCACCTGATCTTCAGCAGTTCACCAATGTCTTATGTTTGTTAATGTTAATTTCTTTGAAACCCAACCATTCTTCACAAATCTAGGTGATCGCCTAGACATTTCTGAGGTTGTTAGTAGTTCTATCATTTGGAGATTCAATCACTATCTTCCCCTTCATCATCACCTACAACTCCAATTCCCTTACCTATAGCTCCATTTCTATCACCTAAAACTCCAGTTCAACTTTCAACCTTCTACAACTCCACCACTCTTAATTTATCATCGCCTTCAACGTCCAACATCACATACAATGATTCACATCTTATACTGAATCCTTTGCCTACTAGGGACTTGTCTTTCCCTAGTCCACTGATTGCATTCCAAAAGGCTATCCAATCCACTCATAATCCCAATCCCCATTACACTTGTTTGAGCTATCATCGTTTATTATCACTTCATTACGCCTTCGTGTGATCTTTGTCCTCTATTTCTATCCCTAAGTCCACAGGTGAAGCGCTATGTCATCCCGAATGGCAATAGGCCATGATCGAAGAGATGTACTCTTGACATGCTAGTGGTACTTGGAAGCTTATTCCTCTACCTCTAGATAAATCTATTGTTCGTTGTCGGTGGTTGTATGCAGTCAAATTGGTCGACTTAAAGCCTGCCTTGTTGTCAAAAGTTATACTTATTTGGACTTGATTATAGTGATACTTCCTCTCCAGTGGCTAAAATAGAATCTTTTGTCTTCGTATATCCATAATTGTTGTTAGTCATTGGCCTCTTTATCAGCTAGACATTAAGAATACTTTTATCCATCGTGATATTGCTCAGGAGGAGTCTAGTTGTCTTGTATGCCAGTTGTGTCGGTCCTATATGGTTTGAAATAGTCGCCTCGAGCACAATTTAGTAAGTTCAGCATGGTATTCAAGATTGGTATGACTCGCAGTGAGGCTGATCATTCTGTATTCTATCAACATACTTCTCATAATTTGTGCTTTTATATGATCGTTTATGTTGATGGTATAGTCATCACAGGCATGATGAAAATGGTATAATTAAATTGAATCAACATCTCTTTCAACATTTCCAGAAGGACCTAGGCACGTTGTGGTATTCTCTGGGCATTGAGGTAGCGCAATCCAAATTAGGAATTGTCATCTCATAGTGTAAGTATGCCCTAGACGTTCATAAGGAGACAAGTATGACAGGTTGTAGACCCATTGACACTCATATCGACTCGTTTAATAGACAAATATGACAATTATAGGCCCATAGACACTCTTATCGACCTGAGTATAAAACTTATGACTACGAAAGAAAATCTCTAGTAATCCTGAAAGGTATAGGTAGCTAATCAGTAAGTTGAACTATCTCCAGTTACTTGGCCTAACATTGCTTTTCCTACGAGTGTTGTAGATCAGTTTATGGAATCTCCATGTTATAGTCACTGGGATGCAGTTGTTCGTATTTTTCAATGCATAAAATCATAGCAAAAAATTGCTTTATGAGGATTGAGGTCATGAGAAGATTGTTGGATACATAGATGCCGATTGGGCATGATCACCTTTTTAGAGACGATGTTTAGATATTGTGTTTTGGTAAGAGGTAATGTGGAGGAATCTTAGAAAATTAACAACAAAAGTGATTGCTCGATCTAAGTGCAGAAGCTGAATACCAAGCAATGGTTGTGGCAACTTGCAAACTAGTTGGATTAAGCAGTTGGTCAAAGAATTGAAGTTTGGAGAAATTAGTCAGATGGATCTTGTGTGCAATAACCAAGATACTCTTCGTATTGCATCAAGTCTGATGTTTCATGAGAGAACTAAACACATTGAGATCAATTGTCACTTCAACAACGACAACAACAACAAGTGAAATCCCACAAGATGGGTAGGGGAAGGTAGAGTGTATGCAAACCTTACTTCTTCCTCCACGGGTTGTTTCCAAAAGACCCTCGGTTTTAGATAAAAAACAACTCTTGGGAGACATTATCACAAAATTCGTGAGTCAAATGTTCAACTTATAGATATTTTCACCAAGTCCCTCGTATTAGCTACATTTGTAACAAGTTTGGTACATTGATTTATATGAACCAACTTGAGGGGGAATGTTAGAATCTCGTAGATATTCTACAATATTTCTAGGATCTTTTAAATGTTGTACATCTTGATTTACTCCTGTACTTGTGTAATTTGATTCTCTTTTCCTTTCTTAGAATAATCAGTTTCTCTGAATTCTTGTTTCGTTTGTCTTACTTCCTAATAAGAAGAAAAGGTCATCAAGAGCAAAGTAGGAAAGCCAAAGCAGAATCCAACAATTTGTATCCTAGCTAAAGACATATGTTAGAAGATGTATATTATGTTACTTGGTACAGTAAAATCTTCAATTTTAACTATTTTCTGCTGATGCTTTTCCTCTCGGGAATTAAACTACAGTACTTTCACGCTCAACATTGTCTTCTCATTGAGCTTAACGTACCTGTAAATTTACATTCTTGTTGATTAAGCATCTTTCTTTCTTCATATTGTTTGCTGTCCATTGTGGAAGGCGTTTAAACTTACCTCGTCTATTTAACTAGCTGAAGCTAGCCGAGATCGAGAGCTTTCTTTACATAGAGCTCCTAGATTGTACAGAAGCTGATGGACCAAGGCTTAAAATGCCAGACAGAGACGAGCTAGCTGGTCTTTTAAATGTAGCAAGTTCTCAAGAAGAAACACATTCCATCATTGAACTTCCTTTTATTTGTAAGAACTGGAGCAATATCCTATCTAGTATACCACAAAATTAAAACAGCCTCGTTTGTTGCAATGTATGGGGTATAGAAGATCCATTTCAAAAGACATATACACAGGCTTATAGTTGCAGAATATTGTTAAGGGTTGACATCAGTAGTGAGCCGTAATATTGATTTGAGAAATGCCAGCACACAAAATTACCTTGAAGGAAAATGCCAAGGACAAAAAGTTTCAAGGTCCTAATCACAACTTTCAAGGTTGCCCCAGTTCTGTCTAAAACTATCTGCAGTTTTGAAAGAGGAAAAGGTTCAGAAAGTGCTAAGAGCAACACAACCACCTGGTGACAGGCATGATCTTACTAATACGATTTAATTATAAATTGACAGCACATAGTATAGATATCTTTCAAAATGATTGGGTTTATGTCCATGATTTTATCTGAAGATCAAAGTATAGATACCTTATTTACAATTGCCAGGGAAACTCCAACAACAAAGAGGAAGAAAGGCATTACAAAGTCTGCCAAGCGGACACCATTCCATGGAGAGTGAGCAACGCTGGGAAAAACAGAACCAGCGTAATCCACAAGTATCATAAGCTGAAAGCAAATTAAAATCATAAGATGAAAATTTGGTGAAATTCCTACAAGCGAGAAGGAAAAGAGAAGAACTCGATCTTAATATAACTGCGTACAAGGAGTGTTATCAGAATCATCGTTAAAGAAACAAAGCAATTAATCCAAACCTTAAAGCAAGGAGTTGATTAATTAAAGAAGCATCTTTACAAATTACAATGGAGTTTGAGAATTGTTATCTACAGGGACGGATGCAAGTAAGTGTAGTTGTTAGCACGAATAGAACAATCTAAAGGTTTCTGAAACTTAAAAGAGGTGGCAATATCTTCTTTGTGAATGTGGTTTCAAGGTTTGTATTTTAAAGATTGCTTTGAGATAGATTTCTCTAGAACCAGGGGAGCACGAGATACAAAAGGGGATCAAAATGTCCCATCAATAAAGTGATAGCTTTCTACTCAATTGCTCTACTATTTTCTTCTCTCCATTTTGGCCTATTGTACTATCAAGTTTAGGGAAAAAGAAAACAAAAATTCATTTTTCTGTATTCCGTAGTTTCTGGACAGGTTATAAAGCAGAAAAAGACACAGAGAGAAGCCGTGGACTAAACCAACTCCAGGTTCCGATATTCCCGAGAGCAGGAAAAATCCTTCAATCTTCATAACATGCATATGAAAAAAATAAAAAATCATGCATACGGAGTTGTCAAGATCAATACATTCAAACGAACTAGAGAAATGAAGCTCAGAATTTGAATTTCATTTCAAAGCAAACAAAAGAATCAACATCTAGCTGATCGACAGCTTCGTCAAAAATTCAAATTGCAAAATTCTTTTTAAAAGCTGGCTATTCTAGGCGGAATCTTAATCTGTTATCTCATCAGTAAACAAAATCGTAAAAGTTAAATTTGCTTACAAAAACGCAGATGCCCCGAAACACATCGATAGAAACAACACGAGAAGAAGGTGTCGTAGTTTTCCTATGAGTTGCTTCACTTTCACGCTCAGCTAGCACCTCTTCCCCGCCGTTGTTGCTCCCTAGTAACGGCTCATTTTCTGCCATTTCTGAGCTCCTAACTCAACTCTCTGTAAAGCAATATGAGACAAGTATATATATATATATGGAGAAAAAGAGAAGTTTAAGCTTTGTTTGATGCGTTTGTGACAAGGACCAAGTATGAGAGTGGGGCCAAATAGTTGACCCATTTCTCTCCACAATATATAAATATATTTATTTATTTATTTTTCAATTTTTTTCAACTCAATAAATCACAACCTTTGTTATAGTCTCCAACCTTTCGATAAAACACTTTGTGATAACCTGTTTATTCGTGCATTATCAACCACATAGGAGACACAAATTTTATTAAACAAGCCTCGTGAGCTCATGACTGCGTAACAAAGGAAGGTTGGAATCAATGGTAGGCCTCTCCCTCAATATCATTCAATAATAAATGGTAGCAACAATATATTTTTCTTTCACTTTTCTTTTCTTCACACTTTCGTCTACTGCTTCTGTCCAAACTAAACAAGTTGATAACCTTTCTCTTTTAAGTAAAACATTCACCAAACAGTCAACAGTGAAGAAATTATAGTCTTGTTTGTTTGTTTGTTTGTTGTGTCAAATGGACGGATTGAGCTTAAATTTAAAAGGTTAAAATGAATTGAATTAAAAATTATGTTGGATCATAACGTATTCAAGTTTATTTTGGACTAAACTGGACTAAAAATTGAATTGAATCATGACTCACTCATTTCGACCTGCTTAATCTAAACAATATTGACATACAGTAAAACCTCTATAAATTAATATAGGTGGGACCATGAAATTTTATTATTTTATAGAGATATTATTTAATCGATAAATTAATATTTATTAATTTAAAGAACGATTTGAGATTTAATGAAGGTTAATTTTGATTATATCAAAATAATTGCATCTTACTAATTTATGTATCATATTTATTGATTTCACATAAAAAAAATATTATACATAAAGTACAACGAATACATCAAAATCATTATATCTTACTAATTTCAACCTTGTGATGTTGGGATAATAAGAGCTTTCAAGATGTATTATCGTAACAGACTCTATCGTAGGATATTAGAAGGCTATGAAGTGGGACAAACTGATTGGCAAAGATTAATGTTTTGGTTGCTATCAGTTTGTAATCCCTGCTTGGACAACAAATGTTCAGCAAGAGACAATAGCAAATTGTTTTCGACATTATAAAATTCGTTTGGGGGATGCAATCTCAGAGAATTTGAATGAACCCACTTGTGAAAACGTCATTCATGAACTCGAGGTCATGATTAATGATCTTGGTTATCACAATAAAATGGTTGTAACCTGTTGGATTATTCGGGTGAAAATGATACATGTTCAGAGGTCCAGAGCTTAGAAAAAAATGTGGATACCATCGGAAAAAACAATGTTGATGATGAAGTTGAATATGATACTATACCTTTGGAACTAGTTAAGCATAAGGAATCACTTATCACATTTAGAACTCCTCACAATTTTATGGTGCAGTTCAAAAAGACAACATCGGAGCTCTTGGATGCAATAAGAAAAGTTAGAGATAAGCTTCAACTAGATTTAAATTTTAAGAAAAAACATTACACAATAGAATCATATTTCACTAAATTATCAAAGATATATTTGTACTTTTAAAGAATTATTAATTTATGATAGAGAAAATACATAATTAACCCATTAAACTTAGGCTCTTTTTTGAAGAAGACACCTTAAGTTTGCAGATGTCCTATTACCCCACGAAACCATTTAAATCCACAATAAATACGTCATTTTAACCCATTTTCATGACAATTGTGATTTCACACTACAAAAGCGCGTGAAAGGGTAAAATTGCAGCCCCAAACCAATAAAAAACTGACACATGACATTGTTAAATCAAAGTGAAAAGAGTCCCACGTTTCTTTTTCCCAAACCACCATTAATGGCTGCTGAGAGCTTTTCTCAACAACAAAAATTGGTTTTTTACCACGCGAAGCGAATTTCTTTACTGTATACTCTATCATCTAGTTTTAGCAGTCCATCTTAAGGTCTTTTATAAGAAAAATCTACTTAACAACGACATAATACTTGATCAATTTAGCACCTAATTTACCTTTCAACAAAGAAATTTGAACCCATTTCCGTTCATATAGTTTCTCAAGATCAAAAGTATCAAAGAATCTATTCGTACAAATTCAAAAAAAATGTGAAATTCACTTATAGAACTCAAAGCTAGTCTTAATTTCGGAATACCCACAAAGCTAAAAAGGATTAAACTAATTTTTGGGGAAAAAATTGAAATCAAACACTAAATAAATAGCCAAAACACTAAAAAATAACACACAAAACTTACATAAATATATATTTACAAAGAAATTCAGAAAAAAAAATTCTTTTTAAGTGAAGTAAATCTAAAAGAATTGGGAAAAGGAATTGGAAAAGATGAACATGATTTTTTCTAAAAAGGTTTAAGGGTTAAAATGTGAGTGGGCCAGGATTTTACCCGACCCACTATTAAACAAGTAAGAAAATAAAAAAATATTATTTTATTTGGGGGTGAAACACATGCACGGATTATGAGATTGCAAATATTGTAAAAATAGTGTATTTAAAATTGTTGGAAATGGTTGGATGGGGTAATAGGACCCCACAAACTTTAGGTGTCTACTTCAAAAAAGGGTACAAGTTTGATGGGGTAATTATGTATTTTCTCTTTATGATATTAACGGGACCATATATTTATATAAGGGGTCTTCTGAAAATATATTATCTTATTATTTTATCGAAATTGGTGATTTTTTCCATTGGCCCAAGTCGAGACCGGAGGAAATTATTATTTTAGAGAGATTATTAATTTACCGAGTATTAATTTATAGAGGTTTTACTGTACTTATGTAATTTATAAAAAGAAAAGAGATCAAATTCGCTAAAAAAAAATCCAAAAAATAATAGACCTAAAACTCGAATTGAAATTCAAGACTTAAGACTCGGGCAAAGAGAGACGATCAGACCTAAAAATCGAGACACAAGACCCAACCCCGCCATGAAATTCGAAATCCAACACCAATCTTGATTTGAAACTCGAGATCCGAACATGACCTGGACCGAAACTTGATCCCGACCTAAGACCTGATACTGACCCGAGATCCATCCAGGCCCCGACCCGGGATATGAGACACGACCTTGACCTTAACCTGGAACCCGAGACCCAAAATCCAACCCCGATTTGAAACTTGAGATTTGATTTCAACCTTGACCTGGGACCCAAGACTCGATCCGAGATCTGATCCGGATATGATGAAAAATATTTGGGCAATATTTGTGATTTTATGAAGACAATCATTTTAAAATGGGTAATGTTTGAATGAGTTAAATTTACATAGTTCTAAATTATCTTAAGCTCAATTCATAAAAAATCTGGATAAGTTGGGCGAGTTCTTTGTTTTTGGACTCAATTTAACACCATAGTGAGTTGGAAATATTTTTTTCTTTTCTTTTTGTTAAACATCCACTATACAATTTCCAGTAGAAGAATTATAAGATAGAGAATCAGATCCACAAACAAGCTGAAAGTTCAGTTTACCTACTAATCTATCAAAATTTTCATATTTCTCATAAAACAAAAGTTTCCTCAAAAGGAAAAACAAAACATGTTATAACTTTTTTTGTTGTTGTACTTGATTTTATATCTTTGATTAAATAAAAGACACTTCAATTCTAATCCAACAATTTGACTAATGCCTCTTGTCCCAAACACTTTACAAGGACGGATTTCTTGTCTGAAAGGTTATCATGGCTTGCTTTATTTTTCCTTTATCCTCTCCTTTTTCTCTGTTTGGTGTATTATTTTCTTTCTTCTTTATTTATGTATTATCGACATATTTATATGACAAAACCATTTATAATTTTATAATTATAATTTTAAATAGAAAAAAATAACCATTACTAACCGAATTACATTGGCAAAATTGTAAATATATTTCCATAGTAGCTACCTTCAAATCAACTTTTACAAGCCGAATGTAGTAGGGAAAACAGAGACATAGGGTGTGTTTTGTATGAAGGAAAACATTTTTCAGAAAATATTTTCCAATTTTTTTAATGTTTGATTGGGTAAAATATTTTGGAAAGTGTTTTCTAAATCAACTCATTTTCCTCAAATTTAAGAAAAATAACTTCCCTTAAAAAATTAAGGAAAACATTTTCCAAAACTTTCCTCCAACTTCAAATTACAATTTTTTTGATGAAAAAATCAATTTTTTCTGTTTAAATAATAAATTTAAAGCTTATTTAAAAAAAATATTTTTCAACTTCAATTTTTTTATCTTTTTACCCCCCCTCACCCCGACCCCCCTCCCGCCATCCCCCTACCACCCCCCACCCACCCAAAAAAAAATTAAGTTTATTTTTTCAATATCAATTCAAAAATTATTTTCTACTCTCTAGTAAAAATAAAAGATATTTTCTCAAAAATATTTTTTATTCATAAATCAAACACTAAAAAAAAAAATCGAAAAATATTTTCTACTGACCAACCAAACATGAGAAAATAAGTCAAAGATGTACTAGTTTTTCGGAAAAAACATTTTCTAGAAAAACACATTTTTCATGAAAAACATTTTTGTTCATACCAAACATACCCATAATGTCATTAAAACAACCACAAAATGAGGCTACAGATCCGACTGAAACAAACATGTCATTGAAACAATCACACAATAAGAACAATGAAACATAAGATCTAACAAATCATCCTGCCACACCCAAGTATAGTTGTGCAGCCACTTAATGAGGAGATAAGACCAGAAAAGAAATTCACATGAATAAGATACGAAGCTATAACTTCACATATACAACTCTTATCTATGATTAACATTGGTTCTTCTCATAATGCACTACTCATTGGTCCAAGACCATCACACCGTATCGCCACCAAAGTGGACTTCTCCAACTCTTAGTCACACTCAAACTCTCAACTGAGTGTCTAAAGCGGGCTTCAAGGTAAGAACCATTATGTGCCTTCAAATACAAAGCCCATGTAAGGCTAGTCACAACAGGCA